AATCGTTAAAGGTAAGTTAATAGCCACAATGAACACGGTAGGCCTACCATTTGAGCGATGAAGGGAGAGAAGAGAAACAGACGAAGGTTGGAGAGGAAGTGAGGGAGAGAGAGGGAGGAAGGAGGGAGAAGCAAGAAGGGAGGAGGGTGGGCGAAGAAGAATAGTAGTAATACGAGGTCAGGAAGAAGGAGAGAAGGAAGGAAGGAAGGAAGGAAATGGGAGAGAAAAGAGAAAGAGGTGAGGGGGAGGGAGATGAAAGAGGGAAGAGAAAAAAAATGAAAAAATGAAAGAAAAAAAAAGGGAAAAAACAAGAGAGAAGAACGGGAACACGAGGAAGAGAAGAAAAAGAAAATTAAAAGCCTAAGAGAAATGGTGAAGAGAAAAAAAAGAAAAGAAATGAACATAAGGCGCAAAAGAGATAGATAGATAGATAGATAGATAGATAGATAGATAGATAGATAGAGAGAGAGAAGAGAGAGAGAGAGAGAGAGAGAGAGAGAGAGAGAGAGAGAGAGCGTCGGAGGGTATTTTGGCCAACCAGGAAGGGATAGGCCCACCCGCCCGACATTCCCCAGACCCGCTAACCTGCATCATAGGCCTATACGGTGAGCACAAGCCATTGTTCGCGAGTCCCACGCCTATTCACCCTTATGCACCTGTGTGTGTGTGTGTGTGTGTGTGTGTGTGTGTGTGTGTGTGTGTGTGTGTGTGTGTGTGTGTGTGTGTGTGTGTGTGTGTGTGTGTGTGTGTGTGTGTGTGTGTGTGAGTGTGTGTGTGTGTGTGTGTGTGTGTGTGTGAGTGTGTGTGTGAGTGTTGTGTGTGTGAGTGTGTATGTAAGTGTGTATGTAAGTGTGTATGTAAGTGTGTATGTAAGTGTGTGTGTGTGTGTAAGTGTGTGTGTGAGTATGTGTGTAAGTGTGTGTGTGAGTATGTATGTAAGTGTGTGTGTGTGAGTATGTATGTGTGTGTGAGTATTATGTAAGTGTGTGTGTGAGTATGTATGTAAGTGTGTGTGTGTGTGTGTGTGTGTATGTGTGTAAGTGCGTGTGTATGTGTGTAAGTGCGTGTGTGTGTATGTGTAAGTGCGTGCGTGTGTGTGTGTGGTGTGTGTGTGTGTGTGCGTGTGTGTGTGTGTGTGTGTGTATGTGTGTGTGTAATTGTGTGTTGTGTGTAAGTGTGTGTGTGCGTGTGTGTGTGCGCGTGTGTGTGTGTGTGTGTGTGTGTGTGTGTGTGTGTGTGTGTGTGTGTGTGTGTGTGTGTGTTGTGTGTGTGTGTTGTGCGTGTGTGTGTGTGGTGTGTGTGTCTGTATGTTCTGCGTGTGTGTGAGTGTGTGAGTGTGTGTGTGTGTGTGTGTATGTGTGTGTGTGTGTGTGTGTGTGTGTGTGTGTGTGTGTGTGTGTGTGTGTGGTGTGTGCATGCGAGTGTGCATGTATGTATGTGTGTGCATGTATGTGTGAGTGTGATGTATGTGTGTGTGTAATGTGTGTGTGTATGCATGTGTGTGTATGCATGGTGTGTATCTGTGTGTTTTTATGTGTAAGTGCGTGTATGTATATAAGTGTGTGTATGTATATAAGTGTGTGTATGTATATAAGTGTGTGTATGTATATAAGTGTGTGTGTGTATGTGTGTGGTGTGTGTGTGTGTGTAAGTGTGTGTGTGTGTGTGTAAGTGTGTGTGTGTGTGTGTGTAAGTGTGTGTGTGTGTGTGTGTGTGTGTGTGTGTGTGTGTGTGTGTGTGTGTGTGTGTGTGTGTGTGTGTGTAAGTGTGTGTGTGTGTGTGTGTGTGTGTGTGTGTGTGTGTGTGTGTGTGTGTGTGTGTGTGTGTGTGTGTGTGTGTGTGTGGTGTGTAAGTGTGTGTGTGTGTGTGTGTGTGTAAGTGTGTGTGTGTGTGTGTGTGTGTGTGTGTGTGTGTGTGTGTGTGTGTGTGGTTAAGTGTGTGTGTGTGTGTGTGTGTAAGTGTGTGTGTGTGTGTTTAAGTGTGTGTGTGTGTGTGTGTGTTTATGTGTGTGTGTGTTAGTGTGTAAGTGTGTGTTTAGTGTGTAAGTGTGTGTTAAGTGTTAAGTGTTGTAATGTGTGTGTGTGTAAGTGTGTGTTTAAGTGTAAGTGTGTGTTTAAGTGTGTGTGTGTTTAAGTGTGTGAAGTGTGTGTGTGTGTGTGTGTGTGTGTGTGTGTGTGTGTGTGTGTGTGTGTGTGTGTGTGTGTGTGTGTGTGTGTGTGTGTGTGTGTGTGTGTGTGTGTGTGTGTGTGTGTGTGTGTGTGTGTGTGTGTGTGTGTGTGTGTGTGTGTGTGTGTGTGTGTGTGTGTGTAAGTGCGTGTGTAAGTGTGTGTGTAAGTAAGTGTGTAAGTAAGTGTGTGTGTAAGGGTGTGTGTGTGGTGTGAAGTGTGTGTGTGTAAGGTGTGTGCGTGTGAGTGAGTGTGTGTGTGTGCGTGTGAGTGAGTGAGTGTGTGTGTGTGTGTGTTGAGCGCGGGTATGTGCGGGTGTGCGTACATTCACTCCCACCCCCGCCCCTTCGCATCTGGAGCGAGCGCGCGACAGCGATGCTCGGCAAAGTGGAGCGGCGGCGGCGGGTCCCGAGCGCCGGGAAGGGCATCCTAACCACCGCGCGAGGCTCGATTTACCTGCCAGCCTCCCCCTCCCCCCATCACACTTCTTCCTCCCTTCTCTTCGTCACCTCCATCCTCCCTCCCCTACCCCCTCCATCACCATCCTCCTTTCCCCTTCCTTCCCTTCCTCTCCAACAACCCCTTCTCCTCCTCCCTCCTACTTCTGCAGCCCTACTCCTAACTCCTTACCTACTTTTCCCTCCCCCATCCTCCTCCTCCTTCTCCTCCTCCTCCTTTCTCCATTCTCCTCCTCTCTCCTACTTCTCCATCTCTCCCTCCCACTTCTCCTCTTCCTCAACCCACTTCTAACACACCAAAACATCTGGAAAATTTCACTTGTTAAATGGATACTATAGGCCTATATACATTACAGATTAATAAAGGTTTCGCGCGTTTTAGAACGGACGAATAACCAGGTAAATAGAGGATACACAAGTGTGATGAAAAACACTATCATCTGACAGCTGAGAAAGTAAGGGAGGGAGGGAGGGAGGGAGGGAGGAGGGGAGGGAGGAGGGAGGGAGGAAGGGAGAGAGATTGGGAGGGAAGAGAAGGAGAGAGATGAGAAGAAAGAAATACGAGAAACAAGAGAGACCAGAAAATAGAGGAGAGAGAAGATGAGACTAAAGACAGCGCGATGAGAGCTAGACCAGAGACAGCAGAGAGAGCCTACTGGGCTACGACGTGACACAAAGTGACAGGAGTGAGTGACGTGCGAGAAAGCGAGAGAGCGACCCCAGTTAATGAGTGACGGGCCAAAACAGCCACCCACTCAGAAAGGACAAAACCAATCACCTCCCAGTCCCCACCGGAATCCTAATCAATATGCAAACGGCTCTATCCACAAATCCAAAATACCATCCAAAAGATTGGCCATTCCTTTTTTTTTTTTTTTTTTTTTTTTGCGTAACCTTTGCGAAATCACATTAACTGGGGCGCACTTTCGCGGACCGGAAAACACTACGAGTTGTCATCCATTCTCTGCCGGTCTCTTCTGACAGCTGCCGGATTTGAAATTGACGTTTTAACTCTACCCTTACCCCCCCCCCCCTTCCACCTTATCCCCATCTCCTTCGAATCCCTTCTGTCGCTTCCTCTCCTTCACACCATTTATCGAATCTACTGCCACTATCCTCCTTCCATCCCCCAAACCATCTATCTCTTGGTACTTCCGATAATCCAAATAGGCCTACACCGGATTACACAACCTCCAGTGCCACACGCTGCCAAAACACCCCGATTATATATGAATAAATACCAAATAAACATGCAATACGAGCAAACATCACACAAATAAACCATAGGATTAAAAATAGCACATTCGAGCATACGTTTTGTACAACAGACCCGTTACGCACTCGAGGACGCTCCCTATAGTTTATTGACCTTGTGTTCGACTCTCTTGCATGTGTAGCGACAGTCATGCTCGACAATTATGGAGCGTACGGTTAAACTGGCTTAAACACGTGATACATCAAACAAAACACGCTTTGATAAAAGATATGCTGAGTGATATCTGTCCGTGTAGGGGGAAGGTTGTCTGACACTCGCTGACACGCTGGTTACCGTCAGCCAGTAAAATGTCAGTTAACGGTCGTTTTGAAATGCAAGGACCTTGGGAGGCAACGAAGGGAATCCCAACCTCCCTAAAATTCCCATTCCAACCCCGCCATTCCCACTAGGGTCTCGGCACGTCCTCTGGGAACCTCGTGGCTATGGTCTCACCACCTCCTTTCTAAATCCTGCACCATCCCTGAACCTCCAACGCCGTCTTCACCTCCTCTACCTCTACGAAACCCAATAAAAAATCCCAAATTACATGCTTAACTGCCCCTTCCTTCAACCACGCGGCCCATAGCACCCCAGACGCCCACCGCAGCACAGACGCCCATAGTTTTCGACGCCTGTAGTTTCCCACGCCCATGGCACCTACACGCCCACAGCAGCACAGACGCCTCTAGCGTTCCAACGCGTAGTCCCCCGGACGCCACACCCGCACTTGAACCCCGCAAACCGCATTTGAACCCCGAAAACAGCCCTCCCCGCATACACCGGTTCGGCCACAGGGGTTCGAGCTGCCTGGCAGACACACTGAAAGAAACGTTAGTCTGCGCGCTCTCGGACCACATTTCTTAAGCCCGTGAGGAAAGACTTTCGAGGAAGAGGGATCAACAAGGAGGAATGTGAAAGATGAAAGCTGATCCTCAAGCTGATCCTTGAGGGGGTTGTTCGCTTCGAACAAAACCCCTTCCTCCTCCACCCCCAACCTCATCCCTCCTCTTATACCTAGACACAAGGGCCTCCCACCCCATTCAAAGCCCCAATCCCACCCTTCCCCCTCTCATAGGCCTACATTCCCAACACCTGAGAAAGCGAGAGAAAACGTGAACTTACGTAAATGAGTCCGGAGTAGTAGCGCTCCTTGAGGTTGTGCAGGACGGACGCCTCGTTCAGACACGTGAGTTCGGCCATGTCCTCGACTTTGTTGAACTTGGGCGGGTTCATCTTCTGGATGTCATCCTTGGCCACCCGAATGCGCTTGCCGGTGTCGGAGATCTCGACCTCGACCTCGTCCCCGACCTCGCCCTTGATGCCGGCGGCGACGAAGCCATGGTCGCTGTGGGGGATCCACACGAGGCGCTTCTGCGTCCATTCCGCCTGGGACGCCGGGTCTTCGAAGGTGTCCCTCGAGACCACCAAGTACTTGAGCTCGGGGTCGTTCGCGTCGATCTCCGCCATTTTCAGTCGTGAGTCAAGGGAGTCGTCCTCGGCTTTCGAGTCGTGAGTCTCTCTCGGGGTTCCTCTGCCTCGGGCGCGGTCTCTCTCGGCTAAAACGGCTTTCCCTTTCGTTCTGGGCTCATCGGCTTACACGCTCGCCTTTCTTTGTATTGCAATTTTTCCAGAAAACTATTTTACAAACCCAAACAAAACGAAATTTTCTGCTTCACTTTTGCACCTTATTCGAACAGAAATTAATGGTTTGTTTTTTTCCAGCAGCCTGTTGTTTCCTTTATCCTTTTACACTAGGGCTTCCGCTTCTGCTACGCTCATGAACGCAAACAATCCATAGTAAGTTTAAATATAAAAAAAAGACGGCGTGGCGGCGAGGAAGGCAGAGTGTCGAGCGCACGTCTTCTCCCGCCTGAGGTTGCCAGCAGACTAAGGGTGCGAGCGGTGAGGGGGCTGTCCATGGCTCGCTTCCCGGCCTTGAATCTTCGCTTTTCTGGCCAATTTACACGCCTCCTGATTATTTTCTTACTAAAATAGCCTACGGGCTGACTCACGGATGGTTATTAGTATCTTCTGATCATCATCACTTGAGCAATGCAAGTCGAAATGATGGAACTGGAGTAGCGAAAAACGCTTACCGCGAACATAAATGTTCTGCCAAAAACGTCGGTTTTCTAATCTCCCTTTTTTACCGGCTGATAAACTGATAGTAGACTCTTATCACATGTGTCATATCCATTATTAAAAAGTGCCGACATTCCCCATCAAAAATTGCCCACTGGTCTCTAAGCAAAGCGAGCAGAAGGCCAAGATGAAGGGAGGAGGGAAGCGAGCGCGAATATTAAACCCCCCGCCAAAAGCGCGCCTTGCTTTCACCAACACGTGGGGAAATACCTCTCGTTCTGATAATTATTCTACCGTTCTTGCACTCTTATTTCGACCACCTGCGACATCTACCCGATCCGTCTACCGTCTATCGGCTCGGGTACGGGTGTGGCCAAGAGGGCGGGTGGTTGGAAAGCGGGAAATACGAAGTGTTGGCAGGGAAATGCAGCCAACAGGAGACAGATGCTCTTTCGGGGTCAAAATCGGTGTCAGGCATCGGAATTATACTTGCGGGATACACAATAAATTCGCTGTAGTTGTACTGAACAAATGTTTCCTTCAGGGTTTTATGTGTTTTTTTTAAACGTTGCTTGAAGGGGTGGGGTGGGAAGGGGTTTGAAATACACGATTACAAGCGAAGAAAAGCGTTTTTGATAAATGGGGTCATAATTTAGTTATCATTGTTGCGTTTTCATCTGGGAGTCATAATAGATGAAATGCTGGCTTGGAAATACGACCAGATGTTGAAGAAGCGTCTCGATTTGAAGGTGAAAATGGGAAATAAATTAGATATGGATGGACGGAGGTGAATGTAGATATCAGTTTCAGCGAGAAGGGATATGAATTGCAGATTTTACTGTGCAATATATTAGCAAAAAGATCCCATATGGCACGGCATAAGTTACGCGCATGACAAAAAGGTTCTTGCATGACCAAGTTTTTTTTTTTTTTTTTTTTTTTTTTTTTTTTTTTTTTTACTCGACCGTTTTCTAATTTGATTAGCTAATCTGTATGGATATTACGTGTCGGATGTTTACCGTATCTAATCACTAATTACCCTCTTTCGTGTGATTAGTAAGTTGATTTGACGTATTTGAGATTCAGGTATATGGATTTATTAAAAATTAAGAGAAAAATGAAGAAAAAATACAATACGGTTGATATTTTTGTGTATATTGATATTTGTTGTTTTTTCTTTTCCTTGTGTTTTCTCTAATCACATATACTTGTTTTATTTTGCTTTCTAATCAAGACTTAGAAGCCGGTAAACAGTAAACAGCAGCTTTTATCCCGCTGTTCATGATACAGTCGTAGATAACTTCACTTGTCCGAATCCGTCCAGACTAAAATGTTTTCTCTACTGAAGCCGTTAAGCGCGCCAAAATTTATGGGCCGGATAAATCACGCATCGAGATCTCTCCGAGTCTTCTTGCTCTCCAAAAAGATTAATTTATTTTCTGCTTGTGGAAACTATCCGCCTCCCCTCCACCCCCCCCCCCACAATCCCCAAAGAGAGAGAAAAAACCCTACGGGATTGGCACCGCTTCAGATGCCAAGCCGCCGACTCGAACGAACTTTCACGTCGTAAGAAATCCCTTTAACCCTGCGCCAGCTGCCTGACCTCTGACCCAGTATCATAGGGCTTGGAACGCTACACCCGCGGGGCATCGCAGATAAAGGGGTTCTCGCACTCCCTCCTACCCACCTGAGGTTACCCGAGGTGCCCATGCCCAATGGGAGATCACACACAATATGCCCCGGAGATGCTATAACCCCGCGGGCATCGCGCTGGGGTTAAATTTTAATTACGAACATTGGCGTAATGGACAGAACCCAATCAGGTTGTCACACCCCTTTCCCTCCCTCCCGCCGCCTCTCTCGGCTCCTCTCCCCCTCCTACCTGCTTCCTTCCCTCACTCCCTTTCTCTCCCCCTCCTGCCTCCTCCCCTCCTTCTCCTTCCCTCCCATCCGCATACTTCCCCCTTTCCTTTCTCTTTCACTCCACCCGCCTCCTACCCTCCCTCTGCTCCCCTCCTCCCACCACTTCAGTCCCTCCCTCACACCCCCCCCCCTAACCCTCCTTTCCTCCCTCCCCACTCCATACCCTTCCCCTTTCCCTCCCATCCTCCCTTCTACCCTTCCCACCCACCCTCTCTACCTTCCCCTCCCCCCTCCTCCCCCTTCCCATCCTCCTACCCTCTCTACCCTCTCTACCCTCCCTCCCCTCCTCCACCCACCCTCCTCCCTACCCTCCCTCTTACCCCCCCTCCCCTACCCTCCCCCCCACCCACCCTCTTCCCTACCCTCACAACTCTCCCTCCTTCCTCCAAACATCCTCATTTCAAAGTCACGGTGAATCAGAGCCGAAGAATGCTTGGTGTTGAGTGGTCAGCCTTTTATGCCTGCCGGTCATGGGGTGTCAGTCAGTCGGTCCTCCCAAACACACAAGCAAAGGCATACCGAGATTGCTAAGTCTTAATGTACGTGGGGGATGTATGTACGTACTTACACTCTGATGTAGAAGGAATTTGTCATCATACTACATACACTAGACGAGATTTTGTGATACATGGACATTTATGTATGAGTAATTTGCCTTCATGCTACTTTACATTGCGTCGATACGTACATGCACACTTGTACATTGTATAAGTAATTTGCTTTCATACTACTTATAATATTCGATACGTACATGCATACTTATGTATAAGTAATTTGCTTTCATACTACTTATAATAGTCGATACGTACATGCACACTTACACATGTATAGTAATTTGCCTTCATACTACTTATAATATTCGATACGTACATGCATACTTATATATAAGTAATTTGCCTTCATACTACTTATATAGTACATACTCATACTTTCTCTTCATACTACTTATGATAGTCGATACGTACATGCACACATATGTATAAGTAATTAGCCTTCATACTACTTATAATACTCGATATATACATGCACTCATATATTTCTTTGTTCCTCCTTTATGATCCTACTACTTATAACAGCAGAGAACTAACAGCACACACGTATACAGTTAAATATACACTTATAAACACTTATAAAAAAGTAGCTTTAACCCTCACCCCGTATCATCCAACTATTCGTAATAGCAGAGAAGTTTTACTCCAAACATTCACATTTACATATACTTGAACTCAATCCTTATTCATATTCTTATAATAGTAGAGGCCCAGGGTTACGCAAGTGTACATTTGTATATATATAAGATTATATTATTCACAATTCCTTGACATTACTATGATGGTTATAATGATACACCGTATTGATACTAATAGTATGATAAAGATAGGAATAATGACGATATTAATTATTTCGCTAATGATAGCAATTACACTAATAATTAATCGCCAAGTTGACTAAAATTATGGTAATAGTTATTTATCACGTTTAACATCATCTCGTTTTGTTAATGTATTTTCCTACCGTTATGTCTATAATTATCTTTTAAATATTACATCCTTTATTGCTACTCTCTTTACAGGTACTAAAGTAGATTGAAAAAAGAGGAGAAACCGTGATATGGAAATGATAATAATACCAAAAAGTAAATAATAATGATAATAATGGTAATAATGATAATAATAGTGATGGTAATATGAAGAAAATGAAGAATCACAACAAAATCAACAACATTACTAAGTGATATGAATATGATGATGATACCAAAAAGTAATAATATTAATAATGATGATAATCATAGTGATGATAATATAAAGAAGATAAAGAATCACAACAATATCAACAACAATAATGACAATGGTTATCACAATGATCACAGCAACAGCAACATCAACAGAATAACATCAATAAATATCTTGAAACAGTAACATAATTCTAGATACTTTTTTACTGTTTTTTGTAGGCTTTGGAATAGATTGCCTTCAGAGATTGTAACTTTTCCGACTCTTGCTAAGTTTAAAAGATCAGCTAACATGTTTTTCTTACGTAAATGGCTGACTCTCTATTCTTTCATTCTTTCTTAGCTGTATCTTGACCTGAACTGAGACCTTTTGGTGTTATAATTGATTTTTTTTCAGTGTGGATCTTTATATATAGCTTATGATAATGATAATAATAATAATAAAAGTAATAATAATAATAATGATAATAATAATGATAATGATAATAATAATAATAATAATGATAATAATAACAATATTAATAATAATGATAACGATAATGATAATAACAATAATCAAAATAACGAAACATCGCAAAACACAGAAGCAACAAGTACAAAAGAACGCCAATTTCATTTTTATTTTTCTCTTTTCATTTCTTTAAGACGAGTTTTCGGAATAAAATCACTGTGACTTGCATCGCCCAATATCACTGTCATTATCTCACTGCTGACGTAATCAAGAGGTAATTAAGATCTCTCTTCGTCAAATAGTCTCACACTTTCTCGTTTTGCCATCGACATTGTCAAAGAAATTAATGATTTGTGTGATAATATCAATCATTTATCCTCACTGATATGCGATAACAAAACGATAAAAGATATATATTGTCTTATTATTATCATCATTATTTGTCATATCGCTATAAACAGAAAATATACCGTAAGTTTCACAAGTTGGAAACCGAAATGGGTGAACTCAGCAGTCAAAGGTTACAAATAGCGGACATTGCAACAGAAGAATTGCTAATTTCGGCTTTATCTCTGTGAACCGTATTATTTAACTTTTGTTCGCAAAGCAAGGCGGTTTAAGATGAAAAGGCGGTTCCTCACGAGATGAATATTTCCCACTGCCAATTTGCTACGACCCGGGAAATAACAATGGAACTGTTCTCTATTGTTTCCT